TATGAACCAGGTTTATTGAGACAGGTGATATGGTCAGACAGCAAGTGAGTATTGTAGAGAGAGTTCGGTAATGGAGCGGGAAACAGTCTGATAATGTATCTCTTATCTTGAGCAGGACTGGAAGACGGAGAGCTGAGGCAGCGGACGGATGACCAGAGGAAGACCGGGGACCAGGAGCGGATGAGGAGCAGACAGGGCTGAAGCAAGCGGGTAAGTATTCCTTATAGCCAGTAGTTGTGTAGCGGGAGTCTGTAGCCGATGTGTCGACGAGACCAGACGGTGAGTGACTGTGAGGAGTGAGTTTATAAAGGGAGGATGATTGGGACGGTGATTGATGCGGACAGGTGACAGTGATTAGTATGCTGGGGAGCTGGAACGAGTGGGCGGAGTGAAGGTGTCTGGTGCTGACGCAGACGGATCCGTGACAGTACCCCCCCCCCCCCCCCCACGGCCAGCTCCAGCTGGTGGACGGGACCGACGACGGGGACGACCACGGCTCCGGGGCGCTGGACGATCTGGGTGAGTGGTGTGGAAGTCCTGGAGTAATGAGGGATCCAGAATGTCCTCCCGGTTGACCCAGCATCTCTCCTCAGCACCGAATCCCTCCCAGTCCACGAGATATTCCAAGCGGCCGCCCCGTCGTCGGGAGTCGAGGATTTCATGGACTCTGTAGATGTTGTCATCCTCTGGATCCGCAGGAGGAGGGGGCACCTACGCAGCACCAGACCCTGGGGAAGAAGGAGTGAGAGGGTTAGTATACGGCTTGAGCAAGGAGACATGGAATGTAGGTGCGATACGGTAGTGAGCGGGGAGTGCCAGCCGGTAGGTGACTGGATTGATCTGCCTCTGTATCGCGAAAGGACCGATATATCTGGGACTCAGCTTCTGACAGGGCTGTCAGAGACGGATGTCCCGGGTGGAAAGCCAAACCAGCTGTCCAGGAAGATAGTGAGGGGCGTCGGTACGGCGAAGGTTGGCCTGGTTCTGGTGTCTCCGAACAGCCTGCTGGAGGTGAGTATGAGCTGAGTCCCAGACTCTCTCGCTCGTCTGGAACCAATGGTGGACTGCTGGGACGTCAGATGGCTCTCCTGACCAGGGGAATAGTGGAGGCTGGTAGCCGAGTATGCACTGGAATTGGGTGAGTCCGGTGGTGGTTTGTCGGAGGGAATTCTGTGCATACTTGGCCCAGGGCAGGAAACGGCTCCAGCAGTCCTGGTGGTCGTGACAGTATGACCGTAGGTATCTCCCGATCTCCTGGATCTTCCGCTCAGTCTGGCCGTTTGACTGGGGATGGTATCCAGAAGTGAGGCTGACGGTCACACCCAGAAGGTTGAAGAACGCCTTCCATACTAGAGAGATGAATTGGGGTCCTCGATCGGAGACGACGTCCTCAGGGATTCCAAAGTTTCGGAATATGTGTTGGAACAGCGCCTCTGCTGTTTCAAGGGCTGTTGGCAAACCTGGAAGGGGAATTAGTTTGCACGCTTTGGAGAAGCGGTCCACTACTACCAGGATACAGGTGTGGTTGTTAGACACGGGCAGGTCGGTGACGAAGTCCACCCCGAGATGAGACCAAGGTCAAGTGGGTATAGGGAGAGGGACCAGCTTGCCTTCTGGGAGATGACAGGGAACCTTGGCCATGGCACAGACTGAGCATCCTTTGACGAACCGGGAGACATCCTGGGCCATACCCGGCCACCAATAGCGCTGTTGGACGAGCGAGAGAGTGGATTGGCTGCCTGGGTGTCCAGAGCCCGGAGAGGTGTGTACTGAGTCCATGAGGGACAGGCGTAAACGGGTTGGGACATAGACCCGTCCCTCTGGACCTCCCGGCGGAGCAGGTTCGAGTTGTGTGGCTTCGGCGATGTGGTCGTCCATACTCCATTGGATGGGGCTGACAACCACGGCTGGAGGGAGAATGGATTCGGGCTCCGAAGGAGGTGTCTCGGGTTGGAACTGACGGGAGAGAGCATCTGCTTTTACGTTCTTCTCTCCGGGGCGATAGGTGACGGAGAAATTGAAGCGAGTGAAGAACAGGGCCCAACGGGCTTGACGGGGATTGAGTCTCTTAGCATCTCGGAGGTACTCGAGGTTGCGGTGGTCTGTGATCACAGTGAACGGTGTTGGGCCCCTCCAGCCAGTGCCCCCATTCCTCCAACGCCAGTTTGATAGCCAGTAACTCCCGGTTGCCGATGTCATAATTCTGCTCCGCCGGGGACAGTTTCTTGGAGTAGAAGGCGCATGGATGGAGTTGAGGTGGAGTCCCCTGCCGCTGAGAGAGGACCGCTCCTACCCCCGAGATAGAGGCATCCACCTCGACGAGGAAGGGTACGGCGGGGTTAGGAAGGGCGAGGGTAGGAGCGGAGCTAAAGGCTGACTTCAGGTCTTGGAAGGCTTGGGTGGCTCGGGGGTTCCAGGATAGAGACTTGGCCCCGCTCTTGAGAAGGTCGGTGAGTGGGGAACTGATGGGACTGAAGTTCTGGATGAAACGGCGATAGAAGTTTGCAAATCCCAGAAAACGTTGAAGTTCCTTACGGGTGGTGGGTTGTGGCCAGTGGAGGACCGCTTCCACCTTCCTCTGGTCCATGGTGATTCCATGTGGAGTGATGACGTAACCGAGGAATTGGATGGTGCTTTGGTGGAATTCACACTTCTCCAGCTTGAGATAGAGATGGTAATCTCGAAGTCGTTGGAGCACTGTCTGAACGTGGTGGATATGGGAGGTCAGATCGGGAGAGTATATGAGGATATCGTCGATGTATATGACGACAAACTGATTGAGGAGATCGCGGAATATTTCATTCATGAAACCTTGGAAGATGGCGGGTGAGTTGGACAATCCGAAGGGCATCACGAGATATTCGTAGTGCCCTGCGGGGGTGATAAAGGCGGTCTTCCACTCATCTCCTTCCCGGATGCGGATGAGGTTGTAGGCACTACGAAGATCTAGCTTGGTGTAAATGGATGCCCCTCGGAGTTGTTCCAGGGCGGCTGGGACCAGAGGAAGAGGATAGCGGAATTTAACGGTAGCTTGCACTGCATGAAAAGTGGGGTTTTCGTCCCCGTAAACTGCCGGAAATCTCCCTAATTTTCGGCAGTTAACGACAATTTACAGACTGTGAACATCGCGTTCGTCTGTGCCACATATTGACGGAAACGAACCATGACGTATGCATGGAGCGCTCGCGGAGGTGTGAATGGCCCTAATTAGCATATGAATAGCAGCGCTGCGCGCGCCTTGCCAGAGAATGGCTGGAATTTCCTCACTCAGTATTGGTTGAAATTCACTACATTTAAACAAGAAAATCACTCGTGATTGGTTGGCAGATCTGTTACTATTGGTCAGCCGACATAAAATTATAATAATAATATATATATATTCATATGATATGCTATTATGTTTATTCATGTCATTGTTATCCTATGGACTAAATTATTATTACCATCAAGGACATGAATTTATTGAGGAAAGGAACATTTGCCACATACTGTTTATTCAAAGAAATAGCTTTATTAGAACAAACACACAACTATGTACAAAGCATAGGAGAACATCTTCAAAGCACAGAAAACATGTCCTCCACCCTTTGGAAACATGGGACAACATACATACAGCACTACAGTTATACAAATAAATCAATAATATATTGCATCTTTATTCAAAAATAAATTGCCCTGAATGGCATCAGAATTGGGCACCAGATATATCAAACACAGAAGGCAGAATTATGAACGAATAATAAGGATGTAATTTAAAGGGATTGTTCACTTTGAAATCAATTTTTGATATGTTTTAGATTACCTCAAGGGCATCCAAGATGCAGGGGTCTTTGTTTCCACAGTATTTTCAATTTTGATATTTTTAGGTCAAACCGTTGTTGTCTGTCAGTCATATAATGCAGGTCTATGGTCACCACCTCAAAGAGCATGCACAAAGAAGACCAAATTAAACATGATTTAATGACTCATAAATTAAGTACACATTGATGGACTAAGACACGAAATGAGTGTTTTGTGAGAGAAAACAAACAGTATTTATATTGTTATTGTATAAATGTGTATATATATACATATTTATATATATATATATCTTAATATGTTTAGATCTTCACAGTAAAACTTCTGAAATCTGTGTAAACAATGAGTGACGTACCAGTGCAAGATCACTTCTGGCACTTTTCGCCGCATGCGCAGATCATATATATATATATATATATACACACACAAACACACACACTGTTCATTTTCTCACACAAACCGCTCATCTCGTATCTTAAGCCATCAACGTGTACTTACAGTTATGATTCATTAAATCATGTTTAATTTGTACTTCTCTGTGCATGCTCTTTTAAGAGATCCCCATAGACTTCCATTATATGACTGATGCCCTTGATGTAAGCCAAAACATTTCAAAAAAATAATTTCAAGTAAACTATCCCTTTAAAACTCTTAATTCAAGTCCTGTAGGCTTGGCTCATCAGGGCGAAGTGAATCCAAGTCTTTGCGACGCGTGCTTGAGGTTCACCTTGATGTACATACACCTCAGTGGCTGTGGAACCGAATTTCATGACCCCTTCTGCAAAGTTGAAAAAGACAATGATTTAGATGTATGCAAAGGCAATCTGCCCCAAGTCCCCACATTTGTAAGCAAAAATATATGTTTCTTCTGCATCCACTACCTGGTTTCCTTCAGGCGATGGCGGATGTCGACCAGTAGTTTCAGGACCTTTTTCTGGAACACACATTTGGTGATGTTTACAATACTCTAATTAGAATAACAAAGTTTGATAGCTCACAAGGGAGAAGGTGTCTATTAAAAGTGTCTTCTCCACTGCCAATAGATCAATACTTACCACCAGGTTTCAGTCACTGCATCTCCCAGTCTCAGTCACTGCATCTATAACACAAAAAAATGTGTTATAAAGTTATTATCAAATGATGAAACTGAACAGATTTATAAGATATTTAATAACTTGGTCAAACATTTATAACTGAATATAACATGCCATGTTCCAGTTCTCTTTGGCGTTTTCACCACTGTCTCACGCTCAAAGTCATCTATAAACACAAACGTTAATACAAATTAGTTTAGTTTTACTTTTTATTTGACTGGGGCCTGTTCAAAAGAAAAGAAGATGAGATCACAACACGTAACGTTACCTTGTTTAGGTGTTTTTTCTCCCATCAGCGAAGGACACCTCACTCCTTACAGCCCCTGAGAGACAAAACAAATCACAAACACCTGAAGATTTCACTCCATTACACAAAGTGATGCAATTTTACCAACAAGGATAGCCTACACTAGAGCATACAAGCACATTACGCGCTTTATGGTTTATGACCCTGGCACTTATTATTTTTTCATAATTTCTGACGATATTCACAGTAAACGCATTGGGAAAAGCCAATTGAACACTCAGTACGAGTTAGTTTGATTACTAGCAAAGAATGGTAGCTAGCTTGCAGCCAGATAACAAAGTGCAACCTAACGTACAGTTTAGTGTCCCAAATTGTTCAAATTGAAACGAAACTAAAAAAGAATTAAGAGCAGCAAGCTAACGCAAAACAAAAAACTGTTCCGTTAGGTTAACACCCTGGACATTCGCGGCAGTAATCACAGCAGATTTGTGAAGTTTAAGACAATAACGCTAAACTACCAAACACTATAAGTACACATGGACATAGAATTCACTAAGTTGGACGAACTTACCTTCAATTTAGAGGAAAAGATGGGTTCACCAGCGATCATGACGGCGAAGCAGGCTGAATATCTGTGCCGTTATTTCTGCTTGAATAACACGCCACATGCCTGGCACGTTGCCTCAGCCAATCAGAGTGGCTGACGTTACAGGTTGGATTATGATGATATGCTGCCTCAGCCAATCAGAGTTACGTTCACTGGTTTTTGACTCAGGTTGAAAGGCTGTCGTCGACTGTCCTTGACTTTTCTGCTGCTGTTCATTTTAAATTAGGAATAAGGTGGATATACCCAAATAGGCTACCATGAAATGTAAAAATACATATATGCATAAATAAATAACTTTATTAGGCTACTTAAAATAAATAAACCAGTAAAAAATTTTGTAAAAAACAAAAACAAAAAAAACATCTGTTTATAACTGTGAATTAACATCCAAAGATGTTATCATATATTTTGAAAACTACTTCTGTAAATGTTATGATGAATCTTGTAATTGTATTAGGAAAATTTCATATTCAAGAGTAAAATGAATAATTCTAAACCTTGTTTGAAGTTTTTTTTTTTTTTTTTGGGTCTGATTTTCAGTTTTCAGTATATTGAGTCTCTCAAATGTATCGATAAAAATTTAGTGATACAATTGTATTTGCTAAAGAATATTGAAGCTAATTGAAAAGTGAATTTATGTGTATGCTATTTTCTTTCTTTAAATAGTACAAATTACTGGTTTCTAACTTTCTCTTAAATCATAATATTATACACAATAGAGATAGTCCCTTTCCTGTTTTTATTTCATTTGTTCAATTCTGTCCTATTTTTATTTGTTTCTTATTTATTGTGAAATTATTATTTGTTGATTGTTATCTTTTTGGATGTCATGTTGCAATGTTAAAAAAAACAAAAAAACAAAAAAAAAACACGGTAATTAGGTTATACTGAGCCTGATCTATTTCTACCAGAGATTGTCTTAGAATGAAGTTCCTTTCAGAAAAATGTTACCTGGGGTGAAACTCCCCTACCCTTATTTGCATGTGTATAGCTCACAGCATTTTCATTTACATGTCAAAGCCTCCTCTAGATTTAGGAGAAGGGGGGACAATGGGGGGACAACTGCCAAGCAAGGCCCACGTCAATTTTCGGCAATTCACGGCAGTTTGGAGTGTTACCTGTAAATTGCCGTGTGCAGTCGTAAACCTGAACTTCCACGACAATCTACAGAGCCGCTTACTGACGAAAATCCCACTTTTCATGCAGTGTTGGTTGAGGATACGGTAGTCGATGCAAGGGCGCAAGCCTCCATCCTTTTTGCCCACGAAGAAAAAGCTCGAAGCGGCAGGGGATACTGATGGTCGAATGAATCCGTGGTCGGGAGCCTCTTGGATGTACTCCTCCATGGCCTTCTGCTCCGGGATGGACAGAGGGTAGATCTTACCTCGCGGTAGGACCGCCCCAGGCAGCAGGTCGATCGCGCAGTCCCATGGACGATGTGGAGGTAGGGTGGTAGCGTGACGTTTATCGAAGACATCCTGGAACGCCCGGTAGGGAGAGGGGATCTCGGGAGAAGGTTCCACTGGTGGGCTCTCCACGGAGGTGGTGGAGAGCGGAACTGGCGGAGTGGTGGAAGGAACAGGGGTTTTCGTCACGGAAGACAGACAACGCTGGAAACAGTCCTCACCCCACCGTAGGACCTCGTCGGTGGACCATTGGATATGCGGCGAATGGCTCTCCAACCAGGATGATCTCAGCCGTGGAGCCCTCCAGCACCAGAAAGGATATCTCTTCCCTGTGGAGCCAGCCGATCTCCAACCCCAGATCGGGGCTACGATGTCCAACCCGGCCGCATCCTAGTGGTTGTCCCAAAATGGTTTGGACTTGTAGTTTATGAGGGATGGTTCGTTGCTTGGTTTGTAGCCGGTTTAACGTATAGACAGAGCGATGAAGTTGGCCGCTGATCCGGAGTCGATCAGCGCCTGGACTGAAATGGAACGGTTCAGATAAGTGACAGTGGCCGCAGTGAATTTCAAGGAGGAGATGGGCAATGGTAATTGGACCGTACTCACAGCGGGTCGGGGAGGGCGGACGGGGCAGGAGGCGAGCAGATGGCCGGAGGCTCCACAGTATAAACACAGACCACTGGTGATGCGACGATTTCTCTCGGACACTGGCAGGCGAGTGGTACCGACTTCCATCGGCTCTGGTGCTGGAGGACTGTGGTGACGGGGCGCTGGACGAGGAGTTGGAGGTGCAGGGCTGTCGAGCTGGCATGCAGTGCGTCGCTGATCGATGCGAATGGATCGCTGGATGATGCTCTCAATACCGACGTTGTCGTCATAAATCGCGAGCTGGGGGCAGATATCAGGAGTTAGACCATGACGGTAGGCGGTGATGAGAGCAGACTCATTCCAACCGAGAGTAGCGGCGAGGGTGCGGAATTGCAGCGCATATGAGGCGACGGGCGATCTCCCTTGCCTCAGCCGGTACAGCTGATCCTGGACCGAGATGGAATGTGCAGACTGCGAGAACACCTCGGTGAAGTGGCCGGAGAAAGCGGTGAATGTCCGGGTAACTGGACCTCGATCTTTCCAACGGGCATGAGCCCAATTGAGCGCTTGGCCTCGCAGGAGTGAGATGAAGAAGGCTACTTTCGATCGTTCGGTGGGGAAGGATAACGGGTTCATCTCCATGTAGAGCTCGCACTGCAAGAGGAAGCCGCTGCACTCCTCCTCCTCGCCAGAGAAGGGCGCTGGTTGGGCCATGGGACTGGCAGAGGCAGATGAGGAAGAAGTGGTTACGGTGGATGTGGCGAGTGCTGGAGCGCTGGTCCGGGGAATGGTAGGAGAAGGTGGGTCCGGTGCAGCGCTGGTGCTCGGGGTAGATTGCTGCATTTTGTTGGTCTGGTCTTCTGTCACAGACTAGAAGGACACAGATGGATGAGTATGAACCAGGTTTATTGAGACAGGTGATATGGTCAGACAGCAAGTGAGTATTATAGAGAGAGTTCGGTAATGGAGCGGGAAACAGTCTGATAATGTATCTCTTATCTTGAGCAGGACTGGAAGACGGAGAGCTGAGGCAGCGGACGGATGACCAGAGGAAGACCGGGGACCAGGAGCGGATGAGGAGCAGACAGGGCTGAAGCAAGCGGGTAAGTATTCCTTATAGCCAGTAGTTGTGTAGCGGGAGTCTGTAGCCGATGTGTCGACGAGACCAGACGGTGAGTGACTGTGAGGAGTGAGTTTATAAAGGGAGGATGATTGGGACGGTGATTGATGCGGACAGGTGACAGTGATTAGTATGCTGGGGAGCTGGAACGAGTGGGCGGAGTGAAGGTGTCTGGTGCTGACGCAGACGGATCCGTGACATACACAACCATTATGACCCACCAGCAATTAAAAGTAAGTGTATTTATTTTTTAGAAGGGTCCACAAACTTAGTACTGTAAAATTTGATTTTTATAATAAACTCTAATGGCCCAAACTATTTGCAATTATGTAAAATTGAAAAAAAGGAAGCCAGAGAGTAGGGCTGCACGATTAATCAAAAAACAAATCACGATCTCGATTCAAACATAAATGCGATCTCCTTTCTTAATGATGGCGATTCACTTCCGTGTATTTCCCTGCATTCAGATCATGCTGCATTTACGCGTTATATTGGTCACACTCACACAAAAACAAAACAATAATTCACAAATCAATCATGCGGAGGTTTCATCAGGGAATGTCTAAATTAAAGTTGTTGCACGTGAGCAGCGCATATTTTTTTTTTGGGCTTGCATGTTAATCAAAGTATTCACCGGGCGCAGGGGCAGCGCGTGAGCAGCAGTGAAACGCGTGCTCAATTAAAGTGAAAGCACACTTTTGAGGGACAAAATTAATGATTTCACTCAAAAAGTAGTTTCACGCAATGTCTAGTCAGTTTTAACAAGAACTGAAGTACCTTAAAACTTATATAAAAATAATAGCCGAGTCCCATAGACGCCTGTATCTTTTACACGCCTGTGTGGCTGCAGGTTTGGGTAAATAAAAGCTTGTCTCAAATAGGGCGGGTCTGTTTTTTAATTTCGGTTTGTTAATCTTCTAAAACCGTCAGATCGCTTTAGCACATATTAGTCCCGCCAAAGCCTAGTTTGCAGTGTTGGGGAGTAGTTAACTACAAGTAGCGACGCTACTAACTTAACTACATTTTTCAGTAGCTTGGCAGTAGCTCAGTTGCTTTTTAAACAGTGTAGCTTTTCCAGTAGCTAACTACTTTTTACAGCAAGTAGCGGTGTAGCGCGATCAAAAGCTACATTGCGTTTTGTTGAGCCTGCGCGAATCAGCGCGATTCAAGAATATACTTCTTCTTGTTAGATTACAAACTCATTTTTTGCCATTACCGCCACCTGTTGTTTAATCGCGCATCTTGCGGCTAACGGTTCACTGACATTCAGAAGCACAGAACGACTGACAACTTGACACACCCCATTATGGAGCAAGACGTGACCGGAGATTTGGAGGATGGAGAAAGTAATGTTAATAATTACCCATGGCCTTATTTGTCCAAGTTCATGTCTCTCAAAGAAACTACAAGTAAAGGTTACACTTTTGTGTGCAATCTTTGCAAACCAAAGTTCAAAACGCTGTCTACATTGACGACCTCAAGCACAAATTTAAGGACGCACATACAGGTGAGTAACGTCAATGGACATTTTAAGTGTATTAATTATCCTGCTTTATTGCTCTCTATGTTACATCAAATTTCTATTTCTGATTTAATTTCAATGGCCCGCCATGATCTGTCCGTCAGTTTGGCAATGAACATAAAATACCACTAACGTTTGCGCCATCGTGTTTGTCAGTTGAACAAAAAAAATATCTTAGTTTGTTTATCTGACGACAAAGGCTTTGATCTAATGAAATTGATGTTTAGATTTAGATTTGTTATGACTGGTTTCAGAGCGAACCGAACTGTGCTCACGAGCAGCTTGTGATTTACGTTCTTCTTTCACAGTAAATTCTGCGAGTTCTCAGCTCCTTCACTACATGTGAGCGAGTTTAATGTGCATTTTTCAATTTCCAGTTAGCTGTTTAACGTTTACATAACTTCCAACATTTGTGTGGGCCAGATAATTACAGCATTTCACTCGATTTGTAATATAAAATCGTTTTTAATGTTATAGAAATGTAAAGGTCTCGTCACAGATTTCCGCCAAAATAAAAGTGTTTAATCCTTTCAAGTGGAG